AGATTTTATTTGTTTATTTGACAGAGAGAGATCACAAGTAGACAGAGAGGCAGGCAGAGAGGGAGAGAGAGGGAAGCAGGCCGAGAGCCCGATGCGGGACTCGATCCCAGGACCCTGAGATCATGACCTGAGCTGAAGGCAGCGGCTTAACCCACTGAGCCACCCAGGCGCCCAGAAAGGAAGAGTCTTAGTTTAAATGATAAATCACCCATTTTATAGCCCTGGTATTAGATGTGTTCTGGTTACTTAGGTTCACCATTTTCAAATATAGTTTTGCTACTTAATAAGGAAAGGGCTGGTCCATATTTTGAGTCTGCCAAAGCTGTGAGTTGAGATATTGTTTGAAAATTATTTTTGTATCTCTTTTGGATGGCTCATATCATTTCTGCTTTAGAAATTGCATTTACTACTTCTGAGGTAGTGCTTCTCTTTCACTTACCTGTTTATCTTATCTCACAAGTTTAAAGTTTTATCCAGCACCTTCAAAGAGTGGTGGACATATATACAGAGTGCAGGTTGATATGGAAAAGGAGGAAAACCCACCCTCTTTCCTCTTAGCATGCAGCTTTCTGTAGCAATTCAATGAATTCTAATTTTTTTTTCTTTTGCCTTTTATAGTACCTTGTGTTTTGTTTGTACTTTCAGTTGGGTGGTCAGTTTCCTGAGAACTCTAAGAACTCCACCCTTTATGTGTTTGATACATTCAGTTAAGTTGATGTATATGCTACCAGGATTTAGGGAAGGCCTTTGATTTCCTCAAACTGACTTGGAGATTTATTAAAGGATTATGTGTACTGGCTGCTTATAGAAGTCACTTAGTCCCCAAGGTGGTAAAGGAGAAAAAGTGAAGATCTGGGTCTCAGGTTTGGTTTTGTTGGTAAAAACTTTAGAATATCACAAGTAAAAGTCTAATGTCCACTGAGAGTCTCACATGGCCTTCTGGTTTTATATCCAAATATATCTTTTCTGTCTAAGGACCTTGGATGTTATCATCATTTGAGAACAGTCTTACTGTGGATAATAAAAAATTACGCTATTGTAAAGTTCCTGCGCTGTAATGGTTGGATAATACTGAGGGAACCCACAGAATTGTATTTACATAGATCAGAATCTTATTTAGTTTTCTTTTTTTTTTTTCGGTCATGCTTACTTATGTAATGTATTTGTGTCTCTCTTTCTTACTCTTCCATATCCCCTCTATCCTGGCCTTATATTTTTTTTATATATATATTTTATTTATTTATTTGACAGAGATCACAAGTAGGCAGAGAGGCAGGCAGAGAGAGAGAGGAGGAACCGGGCTCCCTGCTAAGCAGAGAGCCCTATGTGGGGCTCGATCCCAGGACCCTGGGATCATGACCAGAGCCGAAGGCAGAGGCTTTAACCCACTGAGCCACCCAAGTGCCCCTGGCCTTATTTTTTTTAAGTTACATTTTCCTCTGCTTTTGCCAGTGACCTTATTCCCACCCAAAGATTTTGAATGGCAATAATTGGGTAAAGCTTTGAGCCTTTTAAGCCCATGTTCTCCTCAGTGTTGGGGAGTGGTTCTCAAAGTATGGTCCTTGGACCAGCTGCACAGCCTAAGCATCGCCTGGGAACATTTTAGAAACATAAATTCTTGGGTCCACTCCAGACCCTCTGAATCAGAAATTCTGGTGGCAGAACCCAGCAGTTTGTTTAACAAACCTCTCAAGGTGATTCTGATACTTCTGTTTAATAAAAGTAGTCACATGAAGCAAAGAAAGAACCTTTAAATCAGGGGTGAGAAATTAACCAGTAATTTCTCCAGTTTTGAAAGGTCAGCTGCTAGGTCAAGAGCAGAACCTATCCTAACCATTTGCACAGATTGACACATACCTGTGAAACTTCATGAATGTTTGTTCTGGCATTTCCTCTCCCTTGTATCCTTTCTGTATATGTCACTACTTAATCTCAACTGTGTTTCTTTCTATACCTGTGTGTGCTAAAATATAATTAATAATGAAGAAACAGTTTCTTGGAGAAAATGTGGCATTTTAAAATACTTGCTTTTGGAAATGTATCTTTGTTTTCTTTTTTTTTTTTTTTTTTAAGATTTTATTTATTTATTTGACAGAGAGAAAGATCACAAGTAGGCAGAGAGGCAGGCAGAGAGAGAGGAGGGGAAGCAGGCTCCCTGCTGAGCAGAGAGCCCGATGCAGGGCTCGATCCCCGGACCCTGAGATCATGACCTGAGCCGAAGGCAGAGGCTTAACCCACTGAGCCACCCAGGCGCCCCGTATCTTTATTTTCTTTGTTGTGTAAAAAAATTGAATTTCATTAAACACTGTTTGAGTAGGCTGGTAGAAGATTTTTTAAAGGGACAATAAAAGCCATTTACTTAGACTCCTATAATTTGTGAAGAATATTAAATGACTTCAGCTGTGAGTTTACTTACAGTTTTTTTGAGTTCTGAATGAAGACTTAAAAGATTTTTTTTAAAGATTTTATTTATTTATTAGACCCAGAGAGAGAGAGATCATAAGTAGGCAGAGAGGCAGGCAGAGAGAGAGGGAAGCAGTCCCCCCGCCGAGCAGAGAGCCTGATGTGGGGCTCGATCCCAGGACCTGAGATCATGACCTGAGCCAAAAGCAGAAGCTCAACCCACTGAGCCACCCAGGTGCCCCAAGACTTAAAGATTTTATCCATACTTATTTATAAACTATACCAGTATTAAAATTGCAATTGAGTTCAGTTACTTCCCAACCCAGTAGATAAAGTACTTTTGCTAGTTTGTAAAAAAAAAAAGAAAAACCAAAAAAGTATTGCCTAAGATAATACTGCACTGAAAAATATGCAGGATTCTAAAATTAGACTCTTTTACATATGCATGAATGGTTGACCTAAGCTGCAATATAGGTATGTTTTTTTCCCTGTAAAGTGTTGTAATTTTAATGAAATAACTCTCGCATTTTAAGAAAAGCCCACATTTCAACCACATAGGAAACTAACAATAGCATGCAATTCAAATGTCCTTTTTCCTTGTGGACAAAATCTATTCTTAGGTAAAAGTCATAAGCAAAACCAGCTCAAGTTTATTAACATTGGTGGCAAAATTTTTTAAGAGGCCCAAGTCAAAGGGTGACTCAAATGATTCTAAATAAAATTGGGAATTGTTGGTTGAATTACTAGGCTGGCCAAGGTCCTGCTAGCACTGATTTTTCTATTGTTTTTTTTTTTTTACAGATCCAGGTTGATGAAGTCAGGAAGCTGGTATATTTTGAAGGCACCAAGGACTCTCCTTTGGAACATCACCTATACGTGGTCAGTTATGTAAACCCTGGAGAGGTGACAAGGCTGACCGACCGTGGCTATTCCCACTCTTGCTGCATCAGCCAGGTATTAAGTCCCTGTTGGAAAAGAGTTTCCTATCATATAAAAACCTTCTGCTCATGTCATACTCCTTTAGAATAATGTGAAAATCAGTGAAATTGGCCTGCTGAAGTCTGATCCTCTGAGGAAAAACTTTAAAAAGTCTACCTTTAAAAAATATATATATATTTGTTTATTTGAGAGAAAGCCAGAGAGTGCACACAGGCAGTGGGGAGGGGCAGAGGAGAGTGAAAAGCAGGCTCTTGGCTGAGCAGGAAGCCCGATGTGGGGCTCTCCCAGGACCCCAAGATCATGACCTGAGCCTAAGGCCGACACTAAACCAACTGAACCACCCAGGCGCCCCTAAAAAGTCTACTCTTAACTTCAGCATTGTATATGGACATAAATGGTCCAACTCTAACCATACTCCTGCTCTGGCACCAGGACAGATGTAGCACCTTTTTTATTTTTCCATGGGGAAAAAGTAATTGTTTCTCCTTTCTCTAGCATTGTGACTTCTTTATAAGTAAGTATAGTAACCAGAAGAACCCACACTGTGTGTCCCTTTACAAGCTGTCAAGTCCTGAAGATGACCCAACTTGCAAAACAAAGGAATTTTGGGCCACCATTTTGGATTCAGCAGGTACTCATTTTCCTGAACCCGATTTTATGCAGGATTAGTGTATAAGTGCACTAAACCCATTTCATAGGTCCACATTTCTCAACTCTCACCACCACTTGGCCCTGAGCTTCTGAGTTCTGATTGATCCCAGCCTTCCTATTCTATCAACCACCAGATAAGATGGGTTACCTCCCATTCCAAGCAAGAGCAGGTTTGGAAGTCCTTTTTGAAGTTTTTAAATTTCATTTTCTTTTTTATTTAAGCAATCTTTACACCCATTGTGGAGCTCAAACTCAGGACCCCTGGATCAGGAGTCACACGCTCTTCCAACTGAGCCAGCCAGATGCCCCTGGAGGGCCTTTTTGAAAATAAGAATAAAATAGTCACAATATCAGCTAAGAAATGATTTGTTCACATGTTTGGGTAATTTCCCAGCTAAACAGATGAAGAAAATGTACATGGAACTAGTAAGACTGAGCAGGGAAGCTGCAGCTTTAGGGAGTAACCAGCTGGTAGCTTTCTTAACTTTTTTAAGCACTTACAGTGGCCATTTTAATAAAAGATAGAACACTTGTTCTATAGGGAGTGAATAGCACTGTGAATTATCTATTTTTTAAATGCTTGATTTCTTAAACAAAAAATTTTATGTATCTTTAATCTAATTTTTCCCCAAATCCTTTTTCCTGTTAAGCATTTTCCCTCATGAATAGCTGCTGAGGGTTTAAGAAACTAGTGCAAAACCACAGGGCATGTTCCAGTGTCCGCAGGTAGATTTGTAATATGGTGATGATCTCTGCTTAGACTGAGACATCATCCAGTGTACAGAGACTTAGGACAGGTCTGTATAGCTTTGTTAAACCCAATACTGATCATGACTTTCATTTTTTTCTGGGTCCTGGTTAGGCTCACTCTCCAGTGATCAGAAACAAATGTTTATTGAGCACCTGCTGTGAGCAAGTTAAACTGAGTTAAATTTGTGCTTCCAGTTTCTGGTCAGATATATGGCTTAACCATCATTAAGTTACACTGAACCAAGCACAAAGTGTTTGTATACTTCTGCATCTAAACACCTCCTAGGCTCTAAGGATTATTCAGATTATTGTGTATCTCTTTTTGAAATAATTTAATATATATGTTCATTTAATTTTCTTTCTTAAAGATAAATGTTCTTGAGTAATTTCTTATCACCTGTAAGGGGGATGGTCATTTATTTGTTGGGGCAGGGGGCGTTGTGGGATCATGGTTTCTTGTCCTTGCTCTCAGATTGCAGAGCTCCCATAAGAACTTTTATGTACTTTTTTTGCTATCTCCTCATAGGTCCTCTTCCTGACTACACCCCTCCAGAGATTTTCTCTTTTGAAAGTACTACTGGATTTACATTGTATGGGATGCTGTACAAACCTCATGATCTACAGCCTGGAAAGAAATACCCCACTGTGCTGTTCATATATGGTGGTCCTCAGGTGGGTGTATTTCCTTATTTTATTTTATTTTCACTCCAGTATAGTTAATATATACTGTTATATTAGTTTCAGATGTGCAGTATAGTGATTCAGCAATTCTATACATCACCCAGTGCCCATCATTACAGCTGCACTCCTTAATCCCCATCACGCATTTCGCCTGTCCTCCCACCCACCTTTGAGGTGGGCATATTTGTATATATACGTGTGAGTGTGTTTAGGTGATTGGTTTTTTAAATGTCTAGTCTGTTCAAGTTAAGAGCATTGTTGGGCCTCTGCTGTTATTGACTTTGGCTTGTGTTCTAATTCCTGTTTAGAAGTTGGGTTTTGTTACATGGCTAATTTATAAAGCAGTGTCAGTTTCTTAATTTACAGTAGGACTGTAACTCATGGAGAATGGAATATTCATGTCAGCAGATAAATACGTTACCTTTTATGTAGAGAAGAAACTTGTTTGGGAAGTGAAATTAAGTAGTTAACTGTCTTGGTAAATAAAAAGAGGTTTTGTTTTGTTTTTTTAAAGATTTTATTTATTTATTTGACAGAGAGCGATCACAAGTAGGCAGAGAGGCCAGGCAGAGAGAGAAGGGGAAGCAGGCTCCCTGCTGAGCAGAGAGTCCGATGCGGGACCCGATCCCAGGACCCTGAGATCATGACCTGAGCCAAAGGCAGAGGCTTAATCCACTGAGCCACCCAGGCGCCCCACTAATTATGTTTTAAAAGCCAAAGGAGGTGCCTGGATGGCTCAGTAGGTCAAGCATCTGCCTTCAGCTCAGGTCATGATCCCGGAGTCCTGATATTGAGCCTGCATCAGGCTTCCTGCTGGTTGGGGAACCTGCTTCTCCCTCCTCTTTTGCCGCTCCCCCTGCTCATGCTTGCTCTCTCTTTCAAATAAAACAATAATAAATAGGGCTCCTGGGTGCCTCAGTGGGTTAAAGCCTCTGCCTTTGGCTCAGGTCATGATCCCAGGGTCCTGGGATCGAGCTCCACATCGGGCTCTCTGCTCTGCGGGGAGCCTGCTTCCTCCTCTCTCTCTCTGCCTGCCTCTCTGCCTACTTGTGATCTCTGTCTGTCAAATAAATAAAATCTTTAAAAAATAATAATAAATAAAAATACTTTTTAAAAGGTTTTTTTATTTACTTGACACAGAGATAGAGGGCACAGTAGGCAGAGTAGCAGGCAGAGGGAGGGAAAAGCAGGCTCTCTGCTGAGCAGGGAGCCCGATGCAGGGCTTGATCCCAGGACCTTGGGAGTATGACCTGAGCCAAAGGCAGCCGCTTAACTGACGGAACCACCCAGGCACCCCTAAAAATAAACTTTTGATTAAATCTTATTATTAGTCCAAATCATGTTCGTTCTTGGTGTATATTCAGGTCAAAGTGGGAATCTGCTGATTGGCAACAGTGTCACAATTTGTAACATGAAGTGAATTACTTTGTCACTAAATGCAGCAATGTCTATAGTTGGACAAAAGTGAAATCCAAGAAAAGCAAATATATGTGATTAAAGTCATCTAGGCTTAGTTCTTTGAACTCTTTATTAATAACAGTTGTATGTTTTAAAGTGTTTATTTAACAAATCCTTGTGATGTTTCGTATGTGCTAGACACTGTTTTATAAATACAAATGAACAAGAAAACGGGCTGAGTGATAGCAGGACACAGGTTTTGTAGAACTGGTACTGAAAGAGACTTCTGAATTCTCAGTGGCAAAGGCCATTATGTGTAAGTGCCTTCCTTCAGAAATAGCAGACCTCTGGCTGCAAAGGCACAAACACTGGCTCTTGGGGCACATGTTCGTATCAGGCAGTTGGGCCAATTTTGTGTGTGAAAACAGGCAAAGAAGTGAAATAGTTTTCTTTTAAGATTTATTTATTTGAGAGAAAGAGTGAGTTCGAGCACATGGGGCAGGGAAGGGAGGAGGGGGGCAGAGGGAGAGGAAGAGAGAGTCCTCAAGCAGACTCCCTGCTGAGCACAGAGCCAGACATGGGGCTTGGTCCAGGACCCTGAGACCAGGAGCTGAGCAGAAACCAAGAGTTGGAAACCCAACCGACTGTGCCACCCAGGGACCCTGAAGTTGTTTTCTTTAAATACTCATTTTTGTCTTCTATGCCTACTATTTCTTTTTTCAACTCCTTTCCTTTTTGCCCCTCCTCCCAAGAGAGAAAGGGAAAACACTGTTAACTATACTGGAATTAAGATTTTTTAAAAAAATTAAAAAAAAGAAAGGGAAGACATCATTCTCCTATCTCCATTTTCATTCATTCAGCAAAAAGTCATTGAGTTCCTATTATGTAGCTATTGTTCTAGGCTGTGAGGATACCGTAGCAAACAAATCAGACTAATGTCCCACCCTTATGGAGTTTAATGAGGGAAATAATAAGTGACTAGATATATAAATGATATAACTTAATATAATGAAAGTGCTATGCATAATTATTGGGAAAGGGGATGGCAAAGAGACTAAAATGGGAGTTCTGGTAGGAAGTTCAGGGAAGGTCTCTGAGGCTATGTACGTAAGATGAGGAGGAGTGAATCACCTTAAAGATCTGAGGGAGGAGCATTCCAGATGGAGGGAACAGTAAATGTCAAGGTCCTGGGATTAGAAGCAAGTTGGTATAGTTGATAATAAGGTTAGAGTATAGTGCACAAGTAGGGATTTGCGATTAGGTGAAGTCAGAGAAATAGCCAAGGGCCAGATAATGTAAAGTCTTAAAAGGCAATGGTAAGGATTTTAGAATAAGGTCTAAACTCTTTACCAGTTGGAGGGAGATAAGCTATAGAGTCTTATGTAATTTACATTTTATTTTATTTTTTTTTTTTTTAAAGATTTTATTTATTTATTTGACAGAGAGAGATCACAAGTAGACAGAGAACCAGGCAGAAAGAGAGAGAGAGAGAGGGAAGCAGGCTCCCTGCCGAGCAGAGAGCCCGACGCGGGACTCGATCCCAGTACCCTGAGATCATGACCTGAGCCGAAGGCAGCGGCCTAACCCACTGAGCCACCCAGGCACCCTGTAATTTACATTTTAAAATCATCCCTCTGCTACCGTGTGAATAGACTGTAGGAGGACAAGAGTAGAAACAGGAAGACCAGTTTTGCAGTTGCTTCCTCCTGTGTTGTGATCTCTGTCTGTCAAACAAATAAATAAAATGTTTAAAAAAAACAACAACATGAAAACTTCTTTCATTTTTGCCAGAATCCTCTTTGTCATTGTTTAATGTTTGTCTTCATGTCCACCAAACCCTAACCTTCTCTAAGTTTTTCTGTATTAATTAAAGTCCTCAGAGTGCCTGGGTGGTTCAGTCATTAAGCGTCTGCCTTCAGCTCAGGTCATAATCCCAGAGTTCTGGGATCAAGCCCCGAATTGGGCTCCCTGCTTGGCAGGAAGCCTGCTTCTCCCTCTCCCACTCCCCCTGCTGGTGTTCCCTCTCTCACTGTGTCTCTCTCTGTGTCAAATAAATAAATAAAGTCCTCTTTTAGGGGGACCTGGCTGGCTCAAAAGAGCATGTGACTCTTGATCTCGGGGTCATGAGTTCAAGCTCCATGTTGGATGTAGAGATTACTTAAATAAATAAAAAACTTTAAAAAAAATGTAGTCCTCTTTTCTCTAGTTTATTTCTGTTAAGGCACTAAACTGTGTTTAGTTTCTCACTCATTTTGAAGCATGATAGTGTGATAAGTGGTTTAAGAATTATCCTACCTTTTGCACTGATTTGTATAACAGGAAAAAGGAAACTGAACTGGTCACAGTGTTTCATTAAAATATTAAATTTTTCTGCTACTGGTCAGGGACAACCCCAGAAGAGACTGGTAGGAAAGAAAAATGATCTTATTTATCCTTGTCTCTGTCATTTGAATGACACAGTTCTTCAGGGTAGTCATAATGATTTTAGTAACTTTTTTTTTTAAGATTTTTATTTATTTAAAAAAAAAAAGATTTTTATTTATTTACTTGAGAGAGAGAGATCACAAGTAGGCAGAGAGGCAGGCAGAGAGAGAGAGAGAAGCAGAGTCCCTGCCGAGCAGAGAGAGCCCAATGCGGGGCTCAATCCCAGGACCCTGGGATCATGACCTGAGCCGAAGGCAGAGGCTTAACCCACTGAGCCACCCAGGTGCCCCTTTAGTAACTTTTTCTATGGGGCAGTTTAAATCTCTTGTCTCGTATGTAATGAATATCTTGGGTGCAGTTTTTTTTTTTGTTTTGTTTGTTTTTTTTTTTTTTAAAGATTTTATTTATTTATTTGACAGAGAGATCACAAGCAGGCAGAGAGGCAGGCAGAGAGAGAGGAGGAAGCAGGCTCCCCTAGACAGCAGAGAGCCCGATGCGGGGCTCGATCCCAGGACTCTGAGATCATGACCTGAGCCGAAGGCAGCGGCTTAACCCACTGAGCCACCCAGGCGCCCCTCTTGGGTGCAGTTTTAAAGTCTATAGTTGCTCAGTAATTCCCCTGAACCTTGACTGTAAAGTTGAGAAAGAAAAAGAACATAAACATGAGAAATATAAGTTAACTTAAAAATGAATCAGGGAGGGGGGGAATCGGAGAGTTGCTAATCACCTAGTACAAAGTCTCAATTATGCAAGATGAATAAGTTCTAGAGATTTATCCAACGTTGTCCTATAGTTCATGATACTGTATTGTACATTTAAAATTTTATTAAGAGGGTACATCTTGTGATGTGTTCTTGCCACAAGAAAATAAAATTTTATTTTAAAAGCAAAATAATACAAAAAATTCAAGCTTTCTACTTTCCACAGCATCCTGCCTCTTAATGCTTTTTTATGCTACCATATAATAAATTTCACTGAAGTTGTATTTCTTCCTCAGGTGCAGTTGGTGAATAATCGATTTAAAGGAGTCAAGTATTTCCGCTTGAATACCCTAGCCTCTCTGGGTTATGTGGTTGTAGTGATAGACAACAGGGGATCCTGTCACCGAGGGCTTAAATTTGAAGGCGCCTTTAAATACAAAATGGTGTGTGAGCATACAAACATTTTAAAGACATTTACATTTTGTGTTTCATTGTTTGGTATGAAATCTCAGAGAGGAAGTTGGGAGAAGGGGCTGTGAGTGAGTGAGAGAGAGAATGTGTGTGTGTGTGTGTGTGTGCGCGTACGCGCGTACGCGCGTGTGCGCATGTGTGCGCCTGTGTGTCTGTGTGTGTCTGTGTTAGAGTTCAGGGGTGGGAGGGAAGATGCAACTTGATATTCAGTAGTCTAGCTCACGTCTACCTGTTTACCTGTATATAACTTCAGGGAGCTGAGATAGAACCACTTTTACAGAGAAATAACCCTTTCTTTCTATGTTGTATATCCAGCTTAGCCAGAAAGCAGCAGCATAGTTTTCAACATCCTGTGCCCTATTGAGAGGAATAATTGAGATTTGTTCTGTCCTCTGTGAAGAGAGAAACCAACTGGTTAGTGCCTTCCTTGTGACAAGCCTCTTTCTCTCTACAGGAAGCTTTAAATGCTACCTTTTAGAGATGCCCCATGTCCTTTCTGCTGCTTTGGGAAATGATGAGAATCCGATGTTCCTTTTACACAGTAAGGCAGTTACTGTGTTTGCCAGTGTATTGGACATGCTGAGTAAGACATGGGATTTTCTCCCACAGCCAGTTCTTTGACCTTATGTTGTATTCTCATGTAAGTTTTTTTTGTTTTTATTTTTGTTTTTGGCTCAGTGAAGTGAGATTGTGTGCACTGGCAGGCCTAGTAATACAGACAGGGTGGTGGTGGTAGGAATTAGGACTTAATAAGACCTTAAAGAAGTAGTGTATGTTCAGTTCCTAAAAGTAGATGATGGGGAAATAGGAGGATAAGACCTCAAGAGTGATTTCTTCTGCTTTACTGCATTAAGTTTTAAAAAGAAGTAAATTTAGTCAACCACTTAAGGGGGCTGATTTTTTGTCTTTGGGTATAGGAAGGCTTGTTACAAGGAAGATGCTGACCTCTTAGCAGACAACAGAACAAATGGAAGGGGGAAATACCCATATAGCGAGGGACAGTTTGGGTCTCAGTAGGAAAGAACTTTGTGACTAAGGGGTAACTAAACTCTAGGACTGGCTAGCAACAGAAACTATAGGCCCCTATCTCTAGAGTTTAAACAATTTTTTTTTGGGCAACAGAATCTCAATTGATAATTAATTCTTTAAAAACTACAGGTATTTTTAGTAAAAACCATTTTCAGCTTTAAAAACACTCTGGTAATGAGACTTCTATTTATCAGAATCAGTGAAATGTTCTCCCTTTTTTGACAGGGTCAAATAGAAATTGATGATCAGGTGGAAGGACTCCAGTATCTAGCTTCTCAATATGATTTCATTGACTTAGATCGTGTGGGCATCCATGGCTGGTCCTATGGAGGATACCTCTCCCTGATGGCATTAATGCAGAGGTCAGATATCTTCAGGGTATGTGACTTCCTGTTGTATTTCTTTTTGCAATAGAGGTTGAATTTTCTGTCAATTGAGGATATGAGGAAGTGTCTATTTTCTGAAGGTTTACAGAGTTTGCAATATTATGGAACGTTAAGATTTGTGTATCTAACTGCCATGTGATATACATATTTACATATCTATATGTATATATTAAAAAACACTTGTCAACTTGATGGCCAGTTGTTAGCAATTTATAGACACGCCAAAGATTGTGGGAGATAGTCATGATTAGTAAAACACTCACACACACACACACACACACACACACACACACACACACTGGATTGTAATTACTAATTTAATTGCTGGACTGCAAGCTCTGAGGGCGGGGACTTGTGTGCTCTGCATATCACTGTAACCTCAGTAGCCAAGCACAATTCTTGGCACATACTAGGTCCTAAGTAAATCTTTATTGAATGAATAACATACTAAATATATAAACGATGGTTACAATTTTATAAATAACTTCCTAGAAAAATATGCTAGAAGGAAATACATAAAGATGTTAAAAGTTGTTAAGAGAATGGCAATTATGAAATGTTTTTCTTTTTACTATTTCAATAACATGATTTTATCTTACAGTAGAAAATAATTTTAAGAACGAAAATGATAGGGTTTTTGCTTTTGCATGTATATTCAGATAATCTTTATAATAACCACAAAATAAACTCTGAAAACTGCCGTAATTTTCCCAGATTTGCAGCTGTTGAGAAAGTAATTAGAATATTTAAATATAAAACTGTGTGGGAACCTTAAAATGGGGAAAGTGTTTAGTGCTTCAATATATTTCATTCATTGTTTAAAATTCTGAACTGCCAACAGAGGCTAAAAAAGAAAAAAGAAATAGCTACTTTCCTATATAGAGCTGAGACTTGTCACACTTTTTTTCCCCAGCAGCAGGAATGAGTTTGCACTGAGCCATTCATATGTTCTATCTAGTTCAGTCTCCCCTTTTAACAGAGGGGCCGGTGTGTGTATTTCAGCTAGCCCACGTTAAGGGTTTAGTATGTGGCATGCCTGTGGAGCATGAAGCTAACTAACTCACAAAGTATCAAGTTCTTGACCTTGGCACTTCACTTTGATTTTCTGAGTTGCTTGAGACCATGTAAGCCCCAGTTGTGGGGCCAAAGCCTAAGGATAATTTTAGCCTGTAAATTTGCAGTTACACATTCTCATTGCTAGCCATTGTTTTTTGGATCACACTTGACTGTTACTGTTGTCTTCTGTAGGTTGCTATTGCTGGGGCCCCAGTCACTCTGTGGATCTTCTATGACACAGGCTACACAGAACGCTATATGGGCCACCCTGATCAGAATGAGCAGGGTTATTACTTAGGATCTGTGGCCATGCAAGCAGAAAAGTTTCCCTCTGAGTAAGTTCAAGCTTTAAAATTAAGATTATAAATTTAAAATTGTAGTGTTAAAACTTGTCTTTAATAACAGTGAAAACTACAAATACTGTAAAACCAAGACATATTTTATAGACTACTCAAACGGCATGGCTAATTCTCAAAGCTGAATTACAGACCAGTTCATATAACCTGGTTTTATTACAACTTATATTTGAAGCAATTACTGTGCTGAAAGAAGTTTAAATACATAACTGTTTCAAGGTGAAAAGTTATGTTTCTGCTTAAATATATTCTATAGACAACGTTTATGATTTTTCTTTCTCTAGGAACGTGCTATGATTATTGATACATGCCAATATCTTCATAAGAAATCAAACACAATTTTTCATTACATGTAATGTCTGGTTACTGTATTATAAATTTATTATTGAAAATGTTGAATTCTTATTTTAATATTACAGTATAAGGAAGTTAATTTTATTATTAACATTATATATGTTTTTATATAATTGTATTTTATATTATATAACTTTATATAGTTGTATATATTACATAACTATAATAGTAACTAATAGTTAATTGTGATCAAAGGAGTTAAGTGGTTTTCCCAAGAACTCTATTTTGCCTAATCCTGTGATATTTTCATTTCTCTAGACCAAATCGTTTACTACTTTTACATGGATTCTTGGATGAGAATGTCCATTTTGCACACACCAGTATATTACTGAGTTTTTTAGTGAGGGCTGGAAAGCCATATGATTTACAGGTGAGTTCTTTATTTTCTGATTGAATTAAGTAGCAATTAGTGATTTGATTACTTTGAAATATAATAAACTATGGAGTAAGGCTGAATTTTCAGCTGTGGCCGCTCTCTCCTTAAGAGATCTAAAGTCATAGGCATAGTTAGTAGTGCCTCTAGTTGGGTAAAAAATAAGATTCTGTTGAAGTTGGGCTAAGAACTGGCCTATATGACCAATATGGGCTAAGTACTAGATTGTATGACTTGTGTATCTGTAACTGCTTTCAGTTTGTAATCATGGAAAAAATGACAGGAGTCTATTCAGTATCCTCCTTTGCTTTTCTTTACATGGTTTTTTAATTTTATATTTTATTTTAATTTTATATATATATATATATATTTTTTTTTTTTTTAAAGATTTTATTTATTTACTTGACAGACAGAGATCACAGGTAGGCAGAGAGGCAGGCAGAGAGAGGAAGTGAAGCAGGCTCCCTGATGAGCAGAGAGCCTGATGCGGGGCTCGATCCCAGGACCCTGCGATCATGACCTGAGCCGAAGGCAGAGGCTTTAACCCACTGAGCCACCCAGGCCCCCCTTTAATTTTATATTTTAATTTTATAATTTTTATATTGACATTGGAATAGAAAGCCATAGGTTAACCACCTTCATTGCTCCATTACTCAAAAAAAAAAGGGTTTTAAAAGATAACCTAATCATTTTTTTCCTCCTTTATACTTCTTTCACAGATTATTATTCCTAAGAGTGAAAAATATTACTTTTTCCATTTCATGGCTCAGTTGACATTTATGTAGATAAACTATGAGCTGTTTGTCTGTAGCAGCAGTTTTCAAGCATTTTGGTCTCAGGACCCCTATGCACACCAAAGAGCTTTCGTTTATGTGGGTTTTGTCTGTCCGTATTTCTCATAGAAGATATTAAAACTAAGAAAAATTTTGTTCTGTTTTTTCAAGTTTATTTATTATTTAAGTAATCTTTACACCCAGTATGGAACTCGAACTCACAACCCCGAGAACAAGAGCGCATGGTCTTCTAACTGAGCCAGCTAGGCATCCCCAAAACTAAGAAAAATTTAAAATACTTTTTAAAAAATAATAATCAACTATTACATGTTAACACAAATCACAATTTTTGTGGGGGAGGAAAACTATTTTCCAAAATATAAAAAGAAGAAAGAAATAGCATTGTTTTTACATTTTTGTAAAATCCCTTTAATGTCTGGCTTAAGGAAGACACCTGGATTCTCATATCTACTTCCATACGCAATCTGTTGGGAAGTGTTGTTTTGGCTAAAGTATACAGTAGTTTCCCATTATGTGCAGTTCTGCTTTCTGAGGTTTCAGTTAACCCTAGCCAACCGAGGTCCAGAAGCAGATGATTGTTGGGGTGCCTGGGTGGCTCAGTCTGTTAAGTGTCGGACTCTTGCTTTCTTCTTAGTTCATGGTCTTAGGTTGTGAGATGGAGTGCCATGTCAGGCTTCATGCAGAATGTGGGGACCGCTTAGGATTCTCTCTCTCCCTCTGCCCCTCCCACCCCACACTCTCTCTCCCTCTCTAAAAAAAAAAAAGAAGAAGACGTGGTTAATCCTCTTTCTGACATCGTGTCATGTCACTAGTGGCCCAACGCTAAATCACAGGGCCTGTTACTCACTTCACTTCGTCTCATCACGTAAGCACTTTATCTCCCATCATCGCAGGATGAGTGAGCGTAGTACAAGATATTTAGAGAGAGAGACCACACAATCAGGTAACTTTTATTACAGTATGTCGTTACAGTTGTTTTATTTTCTTATCAGTTATGTTTTTAGTCTCTTACTATGCCTGAGTAAGTAATAAAACTAAACTTCATTGTAGGTATGTATGGGGAAAAATACAGTATCTTTAGGGTTTGGTACTATCTGCTGTTTCAGGTACCCAGTGTTGGTCTTGAAATGTATCCCAACTCTGAATCACCATAGTTGTCCGTCACTCTTTCAAGTTGAAAATGGGGTTCCATTTAAGAAATGGCAGTGCAGCGGGGTGCCTGGGTGGCTCAGTGGGTTAAAGCCTCTGCCTTCAGCTCAGGTCATGATCCCAGCATCCTGGGATCAAGCACCACATCGGGCTCCCTGCTCCACAGGAAGCCTGCTTCTCCCCCTCCCGTTCCCCCTGCTTATGTTCCCTCTCTTCACTGTGTCTCTGTCAAATAAATAAATAAGATCTTGGAAAGAAAAAAAGAAGTGGCAGTGTGGCTTGCAACTCAGTTTCATAAGTGCTTTTCCTTTAGACACCCTATAGCGGAAGTGCTTTCTGCTTTCTTTCCATTGTATCGCCACAGGACATTCATTCATTCATTCCTTTAAGATTTTATTTATTTATTTGACAGAGAGAGACACAGTGAGAGGGGGAACAGAAGCAGAGGGAGTGGGAGAGGCAGGCTTCCCGCTGAGCAGGGAGCCTGATGCCGGGCTCGATCCCAGGACTCTGGGATCATGACCTGAGCCGAAGCTCATGACCTGAGCTGAGCCACCCAGGTGCCCCTACCAGAGAACATTTAAAAAGACATCTCTTCAAGGGTTGCAGTTTATTAAACTTGGGGTTTTTTAATATAGGTGTGCAGTGGTAAATAATACGGTGACATCCAATACAATTTAATGTCACTGCCTTGATTCATGCTAAGGCATTGGCACTTTTATTACCCATCATTGCTTTTGCACTATTGGTGCAAATGCCAACACAGTGAATAAAGGCAAATTGTTCTGAAAGTGGTTTTGACCTTGCATATCCCTTGAAAGGGATTCTAAGGACCCCAGATGTCTCTAGATCACACTTGGAGACCCAATGATCTATACATAAATCCTTCTGTAAGCCTTGGAGTGCATAAGGAACGATAAAAAGGGGGAGCGGCCTTTGTGTCAGATATATGTGTGTAGTATCTTGGAGAGGCTGTGCTCTGTATTACTAATCCTGCTGAAACTCTATGGAAAGCTTTGAAAGGAAATGTATTATTCAATTTTCACTTTCTGTATTTTGATTTTTTGTTATTGTTGTTTAAGATCTATCCTCAGGAGAGACACAGCATAAGAGTCCCTGAATCTGGAGAACATTATGAACTGCATCTTTTGCACTACCTTCAAGAAAACCTTGGATCACGTATTGCTGCTCTGAAAGTGATATAGTTTTGACCTGTGTAGAACTCTGGTATACACTGGCTATTTAACCAAATGAGGAGGTTTAATTGATAGAAAACATGGGATTGATCATCACATTTTGATACCTGCCACATAACATCTACTTCTGAAAGTACATTTGTTGCCATGCAGGCGTCTGCAGCTTGTGGATAGTAATCTAATAACCACACACACACAAAATTGAATGACACGTATTTCTAAAGGACCCAGCAATACCATGAGAATTAAAGAAATAAGACATTAGCACCATGTATCCATACTACCTTATTTTCACTTCTTAATAGCATTATAAAATTCATGGACTTAGTTAGTGTATTTTTATGGTATACTTCTGAGTTTGTTAAAATATGATGTTATTAGTGATTGGTTTGGTTCAATTCCAGAAACTCTGACTAGTTACAGATTTGATAGCACTTAAATATAATTGAATAGCTTATGCTTCATTGCTTGGGGTGTATCCAGCATGTTATGAACTAATCACTATTAAACCTATGACTTAACCAATCATTAATGATTTTCCAAGGATAACTTAGTGGCCTCCTAAAAACACTTATTTTGTTTCATTCAAGCTCTGACCAATTTTAGCCAATTTCAGCTGTATCTAGTATAAATAGTTCTCTCTGATGATATGACAGAGTGGGTTTTTCCTTTCATACAAAGGCAAGTAACTGTACATGTAGCATGGTTTAATTAGTCTTACAATATTGATAATTACAGGCAGAAAATTTTTAATCAAATGGTTAGAGCTTAAATATTTGCAGGCAATATCTTCTCCTTTAAGAAAAGGGAAAAGTACACATTGATTTGTTTTCTTCAGAAAATTTAGTGGGGCTAGTTTCCATTGAGTATTTCCTTACTGAAATGTTCCAGCGTTCTAGGGTGATGGAAGGGAATTGTGGTAGGATGGGAGATACCAGGGTGTGGAGAATGACAGGGAGAGGAAAAGGAAAGGATCTGCTTAAGAACCAAGTAGAAGTAAAATTTGACCAAAAATCCTTATGAAAAAGTTTGGGGGGTGAAATTTAAACTGCTAGAATGTTAGTTAAGGAAACTAGAATGAAGAAATCACTGTCTTGCCAACACAGTTTCAGACTAACATTATTCAGGGAGGAAAAGTTCCTTAGTTATTTTTCTAGTTTTCATTTTTTGTTATTTTCATCTTAATTTTGGTAACCTTACAAATTTGAACTTTTGAAATTATTTGAGCATCTTAGATATTGTGAACTTAAAGAGGTATCCAGACCACCTCTCCACCATAAACTGATCCCGAGCTAGCTATGGCTCTATTTTTAAGCATTCAGAGCCTCTAAGCAATGTCTGAAATGGCCATGACATTTTCCTGGTTTAGCCCTAGCACTCGACTGTTAAGCACTCGACATAGGCTTTCAGGTGCTGATTGGAGTCTGTCATTTTAGAGTCTTGGGTGTTGTTGGGTCACATTAGCAGAGAAGGCACCTGTGAGTTTGACCCTTTTTATCACACACCTCAGTGTTTGGAAAGTTGTTTCTGGTACTTTTAAACAACGCTCTAAGAAAAATTGCTCTTTTTTTCTTTCTCACTACTACAGAGAGTAGATTTCTCTCATAGAGAGCACAGCCTCCATTAGTAAGGGTGATGACTGTGCATCAGAGGTGAATTCATCACTGAGAGCCAGGTGGGAGGTGGGGGAGGTCCAGAAATGGCAGGGTGACCTGGTGGTTTTGTCCTTGGGAAGGGGATTGGGTTTTACTGTTTGTGTATTTATACTGTATCATAGGTACCACACTTTCCCTTATTATCTGTGTATGTATTGATTTTCTTGTTTATGATATTTCCCCATACCAAGGTGTGTTTATATTTTTTTCAATGTTAAATTAAATTGATTTGGGTAATTTTTCTTCCCAAGAAAGTATATTCCCCCTTGATTTAAGTATATAATCTGACTATCAAAGGTGGTTTTTGTTTGTGAACTGATTGGCCTCCAGGGATCTATCCTTATATAATATGCAAAGTGGAAATGGTATCCAGTCGTTTTTAGACATCTACTCATTTGAAACCTCTTACCCAGTAAGGCTGTTTCTTTCAATGGCATCTCTCATTTTACCAAAACAAACCTTCAAGAACCTCATGTACTCTTGAATTCACCAGTGTTTTCCTCTTATGACAAGGGATGCCTCTTTTATAAGCTCCAGTTCATTAAATGCCATTCTCCTTCTATAGGGGGAAAATATGTGACTGATTACACATCCAGAAAGACGGTTTGACTGAGTTTCATTTTAAAAACTGAAGTGGGAAACATCGTAGTCATTTCAAACAATCAGTAGAAATGTCACTAAAACTCTTCATACCCTGCCTATAGGTAACATCTGAAAAGGCTAAGAGTATATAAAAGTAGCAACGTTTTTTGGAAAGAGCCAAAAAGCACTGGGTTAAACATCCAATGGGGTGGGTTTTGCAGGCTTGATAAACAGGTACACTCGAGCAGCCATCACCAGGTAGAGTTGCTTATGCATTGTTGAGCAGTGGGACTCAGAATCTCCTTAAGATTCATCTGGATGCTTATTGCTAAAAAGAGATGCAGTCTTTACTCTTAGAAGTTTGGATTTATTGATTTGGGTGGAGACCAGGAATCTGCATTTCTAACAGTCTTTCCAGGGTGATCCCGAAGTTGTTTGTGGGCTACTTTCACAAAGTCTTCTGAAGAGAATGGAATTGGGTTGAGAAAATAATAGGTGATTTTTACACTGGACTGATTTACAGACACCTAAAGCAGTAGCCAATGTAGCTGCTCATCTGTGATCACTGCTGGGCCCTTCTTACTCTGAAAGAAGCAGAAGGTATCGTAAACTATGTATCCTCTTTGTCTAGAGATTCATTTTGGAATGAAGGTCTTCTCTTGATGCCATTGCTGGCTCATTTCGAAAGGGTCGTACAAGAGGATAAAGTCACAATGCATGCATTACTTTTTAACAGAATGAGATATAGATATTGATGCTTACTTTTTTTTACTACTAGTTTTATTCCTTACAGAAAGTGTATCCCACCTGTCTGTAACATAATTCTCTCTTTAGGTGGAATGACTCCTATAAGATCTCTCACTCTTGTAGAATCATAAATTTTTCAAGCTGTTATATCTTTGATATAATCTAATGTTCTCATTGGTTAGAGGAGGAAGCTACATGTAGAGAGAGGAGAAAATATACCCATGGCCATGCAGCCAGTTAGTGTTCTGTTGGTACTAGACTCCATCCAGATGCCCTGACTCATGGTAGTTTAAATGATATGTAGAAAAGGCAAATTTTTAAAGAAGTATTTATTAATATATTCCTATGAAACATTTTAAAGATAACATAAAATGGTTAATTTTTCCATTCTAAAGTAAATGCTAAGCATGCTTATTAATGAAGCAGTACTTCTAATTAGTATATGACATTCTGAAGTTAATTAAAACTGTTAACCCTAAATGTGTCTTCCTAGTAGTGGGGGATTTGGGAATCGGGATATAGAATAGAGTGCTTGCTTAAGCCTGGGAGCCTAACTTAGAGCTATTTGAAGTAAGAAAAGAGACATGGCTGTATCTAAACTAAGAGATTTGCAGGTGAGTGCCCATTCCCAGCAGACATAAATAAATAAGGAAACTTCCCTGACTCGCACTTTCCCAACCCTACCCAGCTCACCTATCCACCTTGCAGCCTACAATATAGAGACATGTTAGTGTTAGGTGCTGGCTCCTGCTTTTCTTATTTTGTCAAGAGACAGTTCTAGGTAATCAGAAGGGACTTTCAGAAGTCCCTCACAGAGAGAAAAAGTACTATTTGTATGTTTATTTTTGAATAACCCAAATACAAATTTATGTTGTGTTCAGCACAATTGGAGTTCAGGTCTTTAATTTTAGAACATAAAGTGCCTGCTGTTTTAAGCATTGACTTGTATAAAAAGAATTGCATGTCTCACTCCAGTAAGTTTATGGGTTTTCTCATTTTCAGCTACATGGCTTTTAATCATGTAAAGTGAAACATTAGTTTTGTTGCATTTTATTACAGGTTCTTTGTTGCAATAAAGATGCTGCTAAAATTAATTGATGTAAATGTTCCTCCCCCCCTTCCCTATTTGTACAGTCTTGCCTTGATTAGTGGCAACTGTGATGTGATTAATACACACGAATGAGATCATATGCTTGCAGTGGAGAAAGGAAGACTGCAAGGTGATTACATGGGATTTCTAGTAGAAACACCAGCCAAAAATGCATCTAAACCCAAGGGGAGGTGTGGAGGGAGCTATTCTGTGCCTGCAAGTGGTTCCCCGAAGTTTGTACTGCAGGGCTAGGTGGTGCCTGGAGCCAGCGATTAGCACGTCCTTCCTGAGCAGCCGGGAGTTTCTCAGGGATGCTCCTTGGAGTTTCCAAATAGTGGTCTCTGCATGCTCCCTGGGAAATTTCAAGGAAGTTCGGTGTAATACTTTTTTCAGAGGTTTCTTTGACAGGTCTCTGGTCTGTTGAAGCTGTACTGGGCAAAGGGGGAGAGAGAAGGAGATGAACCCCTCTAAAATTAGTAAATTTGGGTTTGTCTGATAGTCCTTCCAGTACAGGCACTTAATCTGGATTCTCTGACCCTCTAAAGCAATACGCAAAATATGAGTGGAAGTGCATTCTGGGGAGAAAGGCTTTGGCTTCTCCAGATTCTTGAGGGAGGATGATCCCCCCCAAGAAGAACCACTGCTGTATTATGTATTAGGTTTGCAACCTTTTAATTTTTAAACATTTTAAATTATTTTTAATGGCCCCTCTATTATTTATTTAGCCAGATGTGGAGCTGGATCCCAGATCCTCGGTCATGACCTGAGCCACCTAGGTGCCCCGAATGCCCCCTTATTTCAGTAAACTCTATCCGCAACGTAAGGTTTGAACTCACAAGCCCAAGATCAAGAGTCGCGGGCTCTGTGGACTGAGCCAACCAGGCGTCCCAGGGTCTTAAAACATTAATTTGTATACAGAAATTACTAGAAATAAAGATGATCTTGGGTCACCTGGGTGGCTTGGTTGGTTGAGCGTCCGACTGGATTTTAGCTCAGGTCATGATCTTGGGGTTGTGGGCTCCACACTCAGTGGGGAGTTTGCTTCTCTATTTCTCCCTCTTCCCCTGCCCCTTCCCCTTCTTCCTCACAAATAAAAAATACATCTTTAAAAGAAAGATCTTTAAACAGGGCATTGCTACAGACCAGTGCTTCCTCACGTTTTCAGCTCATCACACACACACACACAAAGAAGGCATTTGTATGATGCTGGGACGGACTGAGGTACACTGGGTCAACCTGTTGAGGCTGCTTGCAGCACGAAGTGACCAGTGAGACCCCCAGGCTCTGAAGCATATACATAATCTCATGTATGGACTCCAGTTGGGAAACTTAAAGACTACCTTGGTCCCTCTCTCTTTTTCCCCTAAGCTTATTTTTTTTTTTTTTAATAATCACACACCCAAAGTGGGGCTCAAACTCCTGACCCCAAGATCAAGAGTCACATGCTCTTCTGACTGAGCAGCTAGGTGCCTCTTCCTTGGTGTCTTTAATTCAGCTTAGAGCTATTGCTAATCAAAAATCAGAGGTTTGGGCGTCTGGGTGGCTCAGTGGGTTGGTTAAAGTCTCTGCCTTCGGCTCAGGTCATTATCCCAGGGTCCTGGGATCGAGCCCCACATCGGGCTCTCTGCTCCGCGGGGAGCCTGCTTCCTCCTCTCTCTCTGCCTGCTTGTGAACTCTGTCTGTCAAATAAATAAATAAAATCTTTAAAAAAAAAAAAAAATCAGAGGTTTCTGGAGTACCTAGCTGGCTCAGTTGGTAGAGCGTGTGACCATTGATCTCAGAATTGTGAGTTCAAGCCCCATGTTGGATGTAGAGATCCCTTAAAAATAAAATCTTTAAAAATAAATTTTAAAAAATCAGCTTTCAACCTGGCCATGAACATGCTGCAGATACTGTGCTGGCAGTGCAGCTATCCCAGTGTCTAGGGCTCCAGGGCACCAGAGTCCTGTCAGGGCCATGAAGCCTTTGGACTTCCTCTGGCCTAACCTCACCCACTCGGAGGTCATGAGGAAACAGTGATTGATCCCTTGGTGCCTTGAGGGGGAATAGTGAAACAACTGCAGTATGAGAATCTCATGATTGTAATTTTATTTTGGGCTTGGCGTGGTTCCAGGAATTACCAGGATTTAATGTTTTATCAGTCTGGTTCAGTCCACAGCTCTGGTGCCCTGGCCATGCTGCCCTAGAAGGGGTTGAGCTTCCACTAAAGTGGATTAGTTGGGGCTCAGCTCTGACTCAGCTGAGTTGTTGAGTTTGCTGTGTGCTCCTTACTGAAAGCTACTCTCTAGATTGTCTCCCAAACTTGAGTTACTGAAATAGAAGTTTGGAGAAACAAACTTCTAGTATTCAGTTTCAGGACTCTTCCCCACCCCCCAAGCCCAGTCCCCTGCTATCTTCACTGGAATGGCACCCTGCAGAAGTGGCATAGGTTAATATGCTAGTCACAGGGAACAACTCTTTGCAGGAAGGTCCTCTGGCCAGGTAGGTTCTAGAAACCACACTGTTCTTCTGTAGAATGAACTCTCCTTGTTAGCTGGCCTCTGGGCATATAGGTGGTCATAGTGGAGTTTGGTTGAGTGCCTTAGGATGTGATGCCTTGCCAGCTAATTGCTTTGCATTATCTCTCAACTGTCCATTCCTCCTCTTTCCTCTTGCTGCTCTTCTGCCTCAGTCTAGGACCTGAAGGTCATGGTGGGTAACTGTAGCAGCTCTCTAACTAGCCTGAGTTGGGTGTGAAGACTAAGAATTCCAAGTGAGGGGCGTCTGGGTGGTGTAGTCAGTCAAGCATCTGATTCTTGGTTTGGGCTCTGGTGGTGATCTCAGGGTAGTGAGATCCTGCCCACATCGGGCTCCGCGCTCGTCGCAGATTCTACTCGAGATTCTTTCTCTCCCTTTCCTCTGCTCCTCTCCCCACCTCTAAAACAAATACATCTTTTAAAAAAAGGGGAAAAAAAAGAATTCCAGTTGATTTTGGGGGACACCTGGGTGGCTCAGTTGGTTAAGCGTCAAACTCTTGATCTCAGCTCAGGTCTTGATCTCAGGGTTGTGAGTTCAAGCCTTGCACTGGGCTCCATGCTGGGCATGGAGCATGCTTTAAAAAAAAAAAAAATTCCTTGTGACTTCAAAGAAGCTGCTCTCAACTTTCATTCAGCAAATATTCAGTAACAATCACGTGCCATGCCTTTGGTAAGCCATGAGAAAACAGAAGAGGACACAGCCCTTTCCTTGATAGGTGCTCAGGACCAACTCACCTCCCGCCTCACTAACACCCAGCAGGACACTGCCACTTCCTTAAATGAACTTTATATTCTCATGTTCCTGCTCCAGTCCCTAATCAAATCGAAGGCCCTGGGTCACCTAACCTTTCCTCGCTTTCCTTCACCCAGGCTCTTCAGTCACCACAAGCATCCTGAGGGATTCCTCTTTTAATTAATAGAACACATACTTTGAAGTCGGACCCAGGTTCCTCTAGGCATCCTACAGAGCTTTGAGGAATTTTCCCCCCAAGATAAGTGGGATGGCAAGATGATAGCGGCATTGGCTCTGGAGCCTGGCTTCAACCTTTGCTTTTGCTACTTGCTAGCTTTATGGGCTTGGGCATGTTCACATAACATTCTGGCCCTCCATATCTTAAGTATGAAACAGGAATAGTACCAGAACCCTCCTCAGCAGATTGGCAGTAAGGATTAAATTTGCTCACTGTACTATAAAGCACTTCTTGCCTGGTGTGCAACGTAAGTGCTCAGTAAAGGTTATCTCAGACTGAACACTTAATTTTACACCATACTGTTTGCTTCTCCAGTTAGAGTACACATTCTGAGAGTAGGCACTGTATTTAAACTTGGCAAGTTCTTCCCACCACACAGTCCCGCAGGAATGGCTTCTTACATACTTGAGTAGCAATTTTCTCTCTCTCTTTAAGATTTATGTTTTTTTTTAAAGATTTTATTTATTTGACACAGAGATCACAAGCAGGCAGAGAGGCAGGCAGAGAGAGAGAGGGGGAAGCAGGCTCCCCGCCGAGCAGGGAGCCCAACGCGGGGCTCGATCCCAGGACCCCAAGATCATGACCCGAGCCGAAGGCAGAGGCTCAACCCACTGAGCCACCCGGGCGCCCCAAGATTTATTTATTTATTTGAGAGTGTGAGCAGGGCTGGAGGAACAGAGGGAGAGAGAGAACCCCAAGCTGACCCCTGCTGAGTGCGGAGATCCAGGGTGGGCTCGGGCTTGATCTCACAATGCTGAGACCTGAGCCCAAACCAAGAGTCAGATGCTTAACCAACTGAACCACCCAGATGCCCCTCAAACAATTTTTAAATTTCAAATATCTTGACCTTGCTCTTTAGGTTCCCAGGCACCCATCTACCCATTCATTAATAGGACTGCCAAAAAAACAAAACAAACCCACCCACAAAAACCCAAATTCTCCCTAAGTTAAGCTTTTAGGACTGTTTCTTTGAAATGTCACTGGAATTTTTATTTTTTGTCCCCCCACTGAGGCGTTAGGCCTGAAGAAGTGTTGCTTCTTAGCCCTGGTGGCTATCACAATTGCCTGGAGAGCTTTTAAAAATGCTGGTATCTGAGTCCCTCCTAAGATCAATTAAATCACGATGGGGAGGCAGGGAGGAGGTCTGCTATCTTTTCTTTTCTTTCTTTTTTTTTTTTTAATAAATCTTTTTTTTTTTTAAGATTTTATTTATTTATTTGACAGAGATCACAAGTAGGCAGAGAGGCAGGCAGAGAGAGAGGAGGAAGCAGGCTCTCTGCTGAGCAGAGAGCCTGATTCAGGGCTCGATCCCAGGACCCTGAGATCATGACCTGAGCGGAAGGCAGAAGCTTTAACCCACTGAGCCACCCAGGTACCCCTCTTTTCATTTTTTTTAGACTCTCCCAAGGTGATCCTACTATGCAACCATAGTAAAGGTAGAGCAATGGAAGATGGTGTTCACGGAATGTTCGCACCAGGACAGATTCTTAGAAAACCTCTCACCTACTTCTTGACTT